ATCTTCACGACATGGCGGCAGCAACAATACTACAGCGAGAATAAGAGTTACGCTTTCTTTCTTTGCGTGAACATTTGGGCGGCATTATGCAAATCTTCCCACATCGTGACGTAGACATGTGGGGGGCGTGTTAGAACGAGCCGTTTTAGGTAGGTGTGGTTGACTCTTAACTTTTATAAAGAATATCTCTTTTTCTCCTGTAGCTGTATCCTGTTATTATTGTAAAAGTTCAATAAACAGATTTAATATTAAAAACATTTTTTTTTAAAGAATATCTCTTTGGATTTGAGACTTTATTCTTTGCAACTTTACAGATCTTCTTTATGCACCAAGAGCTTGTAACACTCCAAAGAGAGAGGAAAAATCAAAATCGCATCACATGACCCCTTTAAGTAAAGATCATGTTCCATGATGATATTTTTAATTTCCTACCATAAATATCTCAAAACTGAATTTTTGATTAGTAATATGCATTGCTAAGAACTTCATTTGGACAACTTTAAAGGTGATTTTCTCAATAATCTTTTTGCACCCTAAGATTCCAGATTTTCAAATATAGTAGTCAACATTTGAAGTGGATCAAAAAAGTTCATCAAAGTTGTCCTAAGACAAGAACGGGTATTGATCCATTTCAAATGTTAACTATCTCAGCCAAATATTGTCCTATCCTAACAAACCATACATCAATGAGAGCTTCAGCTTTCAGATGTTGTATAAATCAAAAAATAAATAAACTGACCCTTATTACTGCTTTTGTGGTCCAGGGTCACAAATATCAAATACAATTCCATGAACATATATATATATATATATATATATATATATATATATATTAGGGCTGGACAGTAATTCAATATCAATATGTATCGCGATGTAATTTTTTCCAATAACGGTGATATGATTTTTAAACACATTTCCGATATTTCGCTATACATTACCAGTGTTTCCCATACATTGATTTATTTGTGGCGTTTAACTTCGTTGAATAAACATGAGCACTGCACATTTCAAAATCAAAACGCATCGCGGGTGTTTTATATGAATGTATCTCTTCAGAATAGTTTAGATGGCATTTTTATCTGATAAAGTACCGTTCATGAGCGGAGCTGCTTTGTTTACAGCCATTACTGGAGAACCCGTTAGTTCTGCCGCTCTCACAGCGCCTCCTGCTGGCAGACAAGCAATTTGCATTTTCAAGAATAAACCCATTTCCAGCAACATGATTTTGTTGTTGCTCAATTTTTTTGTTTTCTGAAGCAACTCTGAGCATGTTTCATACTCGTTCTCCTGGTTAATGCACGTTTCAATCTATAAGAATAATCAGCCTACACTACCAGTCAAAGGTTTTTGAACTGCAAGATTTTTAATGTTTCTTAAAGAATTATCTTCTGCTCACCAAGCCTGCATTTATTTGATCCAAAATGCACCAAAAGCAGTAACATTTTGAAAACTTTAACTGCTTTCTATTTGAATATTATATATATATATATATATATATATATAAAAATAATCAAAGTATCAAGTATGATCTAGATGAGCAATTACAGCACAAGGATCAAAACTTTTTTTTAATTCTAAAGAAAATGCTAACACAACACAACTCACAAATTGATGCTTGAGGAATGGGCGGTAAACTTTTTTGAGCAATTCTTGGACATTAATCCTAACTTTGTTCATTCTGAATAACTTCCAAACACAACTTGCAGATCAGAGAGACAAAAAAATAGATCACCTATTATATTAATTAAGAGAAAATGTACATACTACAAAAGCATGCATCTCTCACTCTAGTTTAGAAGTACGAAACGCTCCCACGTGGTTTGGGAGTAACACGAAAACAGCACTTTCTGACTGACTCCAGCACACACACACACACACACACACACACACACACACACATTAGAAAGCGCCGGTAAAATGCATTTAAAGTTATTTAATGGACACTTGAAAGAGTGCAAACACTAACTGGTACTCATTTAATATGCAAGCATGACCCTATCTCCAGTGTGAAAATGCACTGGCCTGTACACCATTTCCAGCTCATAATAGCATGTTAACACAGACCAGTTCAACTTTCCAGTCTGTCCTAACGTCCTTAAATGTATAAAGCATAAATCTTTTGCAGCAGCATGAAACTCAACAGCGCTTCACGGTTGGCTGTTGATTTCAGCCACAAGCTCTGAACCCTCATTAGCCATGGCAGCTCAGCATGTCACATTGATTGTAGCTAACTAGCATTAGCTTGTGCGCGCGAGCCCGGCTAAACACAAGAACCAGCTGCTGTTTCTCAGTTCAGCGGCGCGCGGGTGAGCCTCTGAGCTTCGCCTGGGGCATGCGATCATCTCGCTATATCACAAACCATACCACGACATCATCCAGGTGGAGTGCTGTAGGCACGGACCGACAGTAAAAATTCTCCATTACACCAAATATGCCTTAATAAATGTACAGTGCAATAAACCCCGGGTCCGCGGCGAGCTCGAAGTTTCCCAGCGCAGACAGGGCCGCGTGTGAGCGGGGAGTACCGGTGGCGAGAACCGGTGATACACGCACAAGGACGGGTAGAACCGTTTGGGTTGTGTACATGCTTAGGCCGGTTTACTGACCTTGCTATCCCCGTTACACAGCGCCATGAATGTGTGATGTGGAGCGGACACCCTTGTCTTGCCGTGTTCTCTTCCGTGTGATCGTTGACGGTGTCACCCACTCGCCTGCTGCTGGTCGCTTACAACTACAGCTCCGTAGCTCTGCCTGCTCGTGGTGTGCGATTGCTGATTGGGAGGAGTTTGGCGTTCGGAGTCAGAGAAAAGTTTCTGTTGGCTGGGGGCCTCCGGTGGGCATGGGAGTCCTAATTACGATTCATTCGTTTAGTACTTTTGAAGAATAAATCTTTCAGTCATTCTTGAGACGTGGGACAAAACAGGTCCAGCAAGGGTAACTGCTATTAGCTTTAAAAAAATATATACAAATATTTTCCATTTGAAATGTCATGAGGGATTAATAATAGAATGTATTTAACACAATTATCACCTTCAATTAAATTGTCTCATTATTATACCAAATCTGTGTTTCTTAATTAATGTCCTCTCGCTACATCTAAAACAGTGTCCACAGAGAAGGGTTCAATCATTCATATGCAATAAAATGGATAAAAATGTTTTTTTTAATGATGAAAAAGAGCTTGTTTTATCAAAAGCAACACTTAATAATATCTCCTATCATAGCAAGGTTGTTTTTTAATGACACATGCATGTTTAATACGATTTTAAAGTTGCGTCTCCACTTTTTGTCAACACCGTCAGACATTCAATAAAATGTAATA